CTTTTGTGTGTGTGTGTGTGTGTGTGTGTGTGTGTGTGTGTGTGTGTGCGCGCGTGTGCGCGCTGCAGTGTACATGTAAACCTATCTGAGCACAGCAAGGGGAAATTTCAGCCCACGTATTGATTTGCTGCGGCCTGTTTCAGGGTCACTGTGATGTCAGCGTTTGTATTATTATTGCTTTTATTGTCTGCAGCTCTTAATTCAACACAGTGACATCAACGCTCATTGATCCCCGTGGAGAGATGAGCTGCTGCATATCAAAATAAAGTCAGCAAAAGGACCTTCTGAAAATTATTTTATATTACTGTAAGTCAATCAAATCAGTTTACCCCCAGAGTCACAGTGTGAACACAGGTTCCTGCGTCTGTGACCAGCTTTGAGCATCAGAATCATACCAAAAGTTTCTGATACTGGAGAAAACGTCAAAAATTGCATTCTGGGTAAACTTTAAAGGCTCATATCAGATGTGGGACAGGTGAAATCTAAGAGAACCACAGGCTCAGGCGTGGAGGTGCCACTTCACACTGGATTTGAAGCTTTAACAGTCTGATGTGGAGGTCGCTGCTTTCTGAATCAAACGACCACCAAACCCAGCACAGTCCACTCCGTGGCTGCAGCTGCTGTCCATGAAAGTTATGAACAGAATCGGTGAAAGGCGATGCGCCCCACGTAGCGTCGCCTTTTTGTGGGGCTGTTCACTAACAGAAACTGGCACCCGCACACTTGTTTGCTAGCACGGGACCAGAAACTCAACAGGGGAGTGTTGACTGAGGTCAGAGGTCAAATTTAGTGCAGTAAAGTTGTTTATATGGTGATAAATCCCAGCAGCAGTCTCCTCGAGGCGTGTAAGGTAAAGACCCTACGATGAGCCAGCACAGTAACAGTGGGGAGGAAAAGCCCCTAAATCAGGGCCCAGTGTCTCAGTTCTGATACCTCTGGACTGTTTGGAGGCCGGCTTCCTGCTTTGCTGTTTTCTTTTTTGTTACTTAACGAAGCAAATTTGTCTGACTGGCTGTTGGAGCGCGCCGGGGCTGCGATGAAGCAGGTGGATGGTGTCAAAGTAAAACTGACATGAATGTATTTTAATTCACATTTTAATTCGATTATCAGTGTTATTGACGAGTTCTTACGTTAAGTCTGGAAAAAACTATTCCAGTCCCTCTGTGACAGCAGGACGTGATTAAAAGGCTGAACAGATGATAAATGTGGGTATTGATTTGGAGCACTGAGCAGTAATCTAACTGTAAATAATTTATTAATAGTTTATCAGAGCCACAGCTGTTAGCAATCAATCTGAAGGATGTAATCGGTATGTAAGAGGGGCTTCTTGTCTTTCCATGAACTGTTTACGACTTCATGCTCATCAAAGTTGAACTAAATGCTGTTGGTCGCACTGGCGCCTGTACAGAGACTAGTCATACTTTATTCTCCACGAGGATCACGTGAATAGATTTTTCTTTTAGAATCCAAACCATTGTTATAAAACACTTTTCTTTGGTTCAATCTCCCTTTTCTTGTCTACTCTCGCCACATTTAGGGGTCGTCTCTCACTCTTTCTCACTCTTTCACTTTCCCTCTTTGCACCCGTCCGTCCACACGTCCATCATGCTGTCTATCCGCCTTCTCACCTCCCTCTCTCTGCCCGTCTTCCTGCCTCGATCCATCCATCTGTCTCCCTCCGCCTCCCTCTCCCAGCCTGTCGATCTGTCACTCAGCCCTCCCACCCGTCTCCCTCTCTGTCCGTCTGCCTCTCTTTGGGTTTTTGCCGCGGGGCCTCTCTGTCAGGATTACAGGACGTCAGGTTGGCCAACATGAACGGCGGTGGTGGGGAAACAAAATGTTCCTCTCAGCACAAAGCCGCTCTAATCCGCTCTCCTCATCCCCCACAGCACAGCCTGATTACAGGAAGGCAAGCATTAGGACAGACAGACAGGCTGAAAGATCGACAGACGGACTGGCAGGGTTTAAGCCAGGCCGATATTTGTATCTGGCTGGTTAACAGACTGATTACTTTGTTGGCCGACTGCCTAATTGGTCTACTAACTGGCTAACTGCCGCTTCAGCTTACCTGGCTGGAAACGAGCCAGGTAATTAGTCTGGGTGATTAACTCGGTGAAAGCCTGGCTGACTGTCTGCCCGCGTGATTTACTGACTTGTTAACTCAGTGACTGATTTAGTGGCTAGCAGTCAAGCCTGGTAGTAAACAGTCTGTATAAACCGACCCGTTTTATTTGGACAGTCGTAAAACTCTCCGTGTGTTCCCCTGATCGCACCAGCAACCACTGGATTACATGGAAGTTAATTTATGAACAGTAAACCTCACACTGTACAACTCAAGGATGAAATGCCAACAAAATGCCCCAAACTGGGTAAAAATATTAGATTTCACTAAGCCTAGGGATTATTTTAGCATCCCAAAATAATCTACAGTGGCTTGGAAGGGCCATAGACAGAACACCCAGTTGTCCCCAATGCATCCATCAGTGTATATGTGTGTTTGTGATAGACAACATGCTGCACTAATGGGCATGTTTTTGTAGTATCAGGTACCTTGAGTGGTCAGTAAGACCAGAATAAATGAACATGAAATATATTTACCATTTTTGACTCGATACTGTTAGAAAGCGAAGCTTTACCATCTCTGAGATCAAAGAAGAACGTCTTACCTCACCTTAATACAGAGCTGTTAGCTTTCTACCACTAGCTTAAGCAGGCAGATAACAATGAAAGCTATATGTTAACAAGCTACTGTAGTTAGCTTGTTAATGCGTACAAGCTAACTACAGCAAAGAAAAGCTGCTGCCTGCTCAGCTCGACAGATTCAGGCCTTGCTTCCAGAGACAATAGCAAACTGTGACCATAAGATGGCAGTAATTAAAGGACGGATGCAAACAGGCAGCGAGAGGAGATTATAGAACAGACCGCTGTTCGATATATAAGGAGAGATTTCACTTTGGCTTTTAATTTATGTTTATTTTTAAATTTTCATAGGCAAGCACTGTGGATTTGGCATTTTATAGTGCTGAGCTTGACTTCTCTGTGTACAAACTTTGTTCAGTTCTCTTTACCCTGATGGATGGGTGTCCGACCGTGGGCACTTTTCAGTTCGTTGCTAACAAACTGATTGTAGCACCTTCACTCACTTTAAAGTAGGGCTGAACGATTATGGAAAATAATCTAATTGCGATGCGATATGCGATTATTTTTTAAGGTCTTTGTCTTCTGTATTATTAAACAAAGACAAGCAATACATCATATAGTATGGCCAATACTATATTACATTAATTTTAAACTGTTCTTTCCTGGAAGACAGACCTCTGTTATGATGACATGAGGTGATGCATGAATTGATGACTGACATTTTTATTTAACTTCTTCAATCACAACAGTATATTTGAACATACACAATAGTTTATTTTTAGCTTACAAACATCTGAGCATAAAGTGCTGACAAGGAACCCTGATGTAAACATTAAAATGAAAGTCAGTACAATGTGCAGATTGCAGAAATATACATAAAAAAAATCAGTGGCTTTACCACACTCAGTTTTTCGACATCTGTGAACTACTAGACAGTCATTCAATTAAAAAATAATATTAAATAAATAAAACTAATAAATAAAAAATACACACATCTTACTGATCTCTGCAGTCAGTATCATTACACATAAAGTGCAAACATAATAGCAATTGTATAAACACACACACAAACACGCCTTTAAAATTTAAAGGCGTGAAATTGGACGGTCTAGCGGCTAGTTCTGATTAGCGTCACTGCTGTCTCGGTGGAGTTTAATAAACTCGGCCGTCTGCTTCTTGCTATCTAAAATATAACCAGACACTGGTGTAAATTCTCGACTGTCTCATACTTCTGTTTAATAAGTTTTCTGTTTGACGTTTAGTCAGCTGTGTGAAAACCAAGGAGGAACCCACCCGGGGGATTAATAAAGTTTTATTTTATCTAATCTAATAACTTTAATCTCAGCCAAACCGATTTACTCACGAACAAACAAAACACTGAAAAAAGCCCAACAATAACATTTTTAGGTTGTCTAAGTGACTTATATATTACGTTTAATCCGAGCAGCGAAACTCCGCGGTGATCTGAAAATGATGTGCCGGGAGTTGTGCCGTTCTCGGCCGCATCAGTAACCCTCGAGCTTCCGGCTAGCTGTCGAGCTGGTGGGTAGCAGACGCCTCTGAAAACGTCGAAGCACTTTTGCAAATATGGGATATCTTGATAAACCGAGCAGATATTTGATGTTTACACAGCTACTTTCTCGCCTGAAAATATGTTAAAAGTTTATTTTGTGACCCAGAAAGATTAGTATGAGTAATTTTAAAACTTAGTAGCGGCCGCCATTGCTGGAAACTGGAGTTTGGCTGGGCCGCGCTATGAATTCTGGGATATGGTAGTAATTTGGACAGCCTTCGGCGCGTCGCTGTGACGTAATCGGTCTACAAATGCGGCCTCAGGAGGATGCAGCCCATGAATTTGGACATGTCCAGAGTATAATCGCAGCCTTTGCGGTTAGAAAATTGCACTTGATCATGTCGCGATATTATCGCAAATGCGATATATCGTTCAGCCCTACTTTAAAGTCAGTGAAAAACAGTTAAGGGTTTTTGAGGATCTGCTGCAACTGTAAGTACCAGACGATGCAACAGATCTGCAGGTCAGACTTTGTGTTTCAGTTTGTGTGTTTTTGCCAAACTCCATCAGACACAGTTTGATGTTAGAACTGTCTCAGAGATGTGATGAATCAACCTCTCGCTTCATTACAGATGCTGGTTAATACACGAAGTTGTATTCATGACATTTAATTCACCAAAAGAAGACAATTTAAATGTTGTGGGTAATTTTATTAAATGTCTTATTCTAATCAGTTACCTCTTTTATGCGGATACATGCGTCCAGAATGTAGATGAAGATAAATCCTCAAATACATGAAATTACACAAATTCTAACTCGACTGTCTTTTTTTGTTTTGTCGTTTCAGCTTTAACTGCCTACACGTACCTCACCATCTTTGACCTCTTCAGGTGAGTGGGTTACCTCATATTTCTGTTTCCTCTGATTTTATTGGCACTTTAAAGTTGAAATAGTTTATTAAAACGTGACGTGTAGCTCTGGATAACTGAAAAGCCTCTGCAGAACAGGTTTGCCACTGGTGTCTGGAGGTTTCCATTTAAAAAAATAAAAAATCTAACGTGACACAAAATGTGGTTGTTTAATCTTAGTTTGTATTTATTGAGGTCTTTAACAGTCTCGGGAGTGTTACAGAAACTCCGGAGCAGGTTGCAGACTAGACTAGTCTAATAGATTAGAGCCGGTTGAAGATGTTTGGCAGGTTGATCGACGGGTTGAGCGCAGAAACTGATGGCAGATTGCACTCAGCCTGCTCAGCGTAGCTTTGTACTTTCATGTTCTGCTCCTTATGAAAAATAAATTCTGAGATGTTATGAATGAAAAATAAATCAGGAGGAGGTGAACTTGGGCCGACCTCTGTGTCGTGTTGGTTTCTTTTTTCTGCCGCTTGTCTCTCGCTGACTCTTCCTATCTGCCCTTCTCTCGTCTGTCCTCCTCCATCCACTCCATCAATCACCCAATTTCTCTTTCCCTGCCATCACCCTTGCTTCCTCTCATCCTCCTCTTCTCCTTCCTTTGACCTGCAGTTTGATCACCTGTCTCATCAGCTCCTGGGTGACCATGAAGAAACCCAGCCAGGTCTACTCGTTTGGGTGAGTCCACCATAATAACCCAGAACGTGTTGTACACCACAGTTATACTTATATACATTTTCTTTGAATAAACATCTTTATTCAAACGGCTCAGATATCAGTAAATTCTGCCTGGTTTAGATCAAACCACCTCCATGCTGAGGTTCCTCTAGCGTCCAGCAGAGGCAGTAGTGAGTCCGTCACCATTCACTCCCATGTTAAACGTGTTTACAGCTCGATACACAAACTGTTCTGGTTTTTATAGATCATTTCATAACCACTGTACGGGGAGAAAAGGTTTTTATAACTTAGCTGTTTAAATTGTATTAAAACCAAAATGTTTCCATTATTATGGGCGTGGCCTCTTTGACTGACAGTAGCCGTAGCTGCTAGCTGTCCTCTGAACGGGACCTCTGGGCTGTGTTTTTACAGTTGGACCCCAGATATCGTTTGAACAGACTGTCTGTGACGTCTGAGCTCCAGCATTAATTAGCAGGTATTTCTGTCTTTGTAAAATGCTTAAGTTGAAGCATAAAAATGGGACTTAACAAAGAATGAATGCACAGTCATTAGCTCCATCTTTATTATACAGTCGATGCTTTGCTGTACTTCTTTTGAAGTGTAATTTTGAGCGAGCCCATCCTTTTTAGCGCACGCTGCAGTATTTCTGAGCAGATTTGTGGGATCCTTTGTGCCTTTGCTTTTGGTTTTCGTTGCTAAACGTCGGCCTCTGAAAAGTGAAATTAGCAGCGACCTTCTGTGGCCGTGATCCACTCCAGACTGTAGACTCGTTTTCCAGGTCCAGACCTGAGAGATTTATTTTTAGGCATCCGTTGGTTTATATTTACTGCAGTCGTTACTGACATGAATGTATCAGCATCGCTTCCTTGTTTTTGGTTTGGGCTCCATCTGTGTTTGTTTATGCGCTGTCATTTGTTTGTGTGTCTCTCACGAACACACACACACAGCCAGTTTACTGTCTGTGTGTGTCTGTGAGCTGGCTAAACAGTGCTTTTGCAGCTGACAGGTGATCTCTGACCTTGAGGTGTGGGAGACTGGTGATCGTGTGGAAATCTGCTTTTCAGCTTCAGTTGACACCAATAATGCCCAAGTGTGTGTTTGTGTGTCTGCAATTGTGTGTGTGTCCTAATGGACTTTCAGTACCTAAATGGCCCACAGCCCAGTTCAACCAGTGTCTGACTCCTTTAAACCCCACCGGAGCTGAACTGGTCTTTTCAGGAATTAGCCTGATCCATGTTTGTTCTAATGCTTAGCACCTCATGACCACCTCAGGCTGCAGTTTAGTTTGATCACAGTAGGCTTATCATGAAAGTTATCCAGCTCCATATTTTTATTCTAACAGTTAGAGCAGCTTTGCATGATTCACAGTTCAAAATAATCCATATTTTACTGATTCTGGGCTTTTCTGCAGCCTGTAGGATCATCCTCAAACTATTTTAATTCCTCCATGAAATCAGCGTTCTTCTGATTGGCTATCCTTCACAAACCAAAAGTTTGATCAGTAGGTGGGCGGAGCTTATGTGGCCAAAATGACCAGTTAACTGTAATTATACCCAGAGTACGTTTAGAATATACAAATAAAATAAATTGTATGAAATGATGCTGGATAAAGACAATTTACAGTTCATTAAAATTAAGACATGATGCATAAAAACAAGAAAACAGTAAATGTACAATTTAATAAAGGACATCAAACAAAAAATAAACGCTGATGAATAATGAAAAGATAAACACGATCCAGATCTTCACTCGGTGATGACCACCTGATCACAGTGGGACGTTATCATTCAGCCATTTAAATTAGCAGTCAAAACTATCCCCATAAGTATTTTTAATCAGAAATATTCTTTTTTTCATTCCAGACGTTAAGAACATGAAATTAAACACTAAATGCAAACTGTTAGAAATAAAATATCTCAGTTACATGAAAAGAATTTCACATAATAACAGTTAAATTCTAAAAGTAACCAAGAGCTTTCATATGCTGCATTAATGTGTGAATATAACACAATAAAGTGGATTTACAGGGTGAATAAATGTTTAGACTCAAATGTTTGAAACAATTATAAACCATGAATAGCGGCGCTGTCATCTGCACGGTGACAGGGCTGTCAGAGCGAAGGAGGCAGCTTCTAATTCTGTTTCCCCCAAAACATCATCGCCACCACCCGACAGCGTGGTGTTGATTCATTAGCACTGAGCGCGTTTCCAGGTTGAGCAGTGACTCACTTCTTTAAGTCAGCGGCGTGATGGACGGTAATAACGCGTCCTCACTAAACTGACTTTATGCACGATCAATATTGATCTTATCTTTAACTAGGAGGAGGGGCACACATGATGATGTCAGCAGACGGCAGCTTTACGTGGAGCCTGTGTAGATTAACTACAGGAGGTTGCAGAGCAGAGTGTGACCTTTGACCCCACATCAGTGGGAACTATGTGGGATTTTATTTAGGAGTCATCTGTGAGCGTCCCCACTCTGCAGTCCTGGTGAGATGAGGAACCCATTAACCTGAAGGCGTCGGGAGTTAGCCCGCTGACGTCGAGTAAAGTCTCTCACAAGACCTTGTCCCCCCCCGCCTGTTTTGATTACCAGACAGGTGCTGCTAATCAACGCACTTGATTAGTTGAGCATCAGTAAGAGTGAGCACATCTGTAAAGCAGAGGTTTGGAGCGTTCAGGTGTGTGTTAATGCCACAGTCCTCTCAGGAATGGACGTCCAGCAAAGTCCCCCTGAGGTCAGACCGGCTGTGCTCCACTGCAGATTCTACAGGCCTCAGTTAGCAGGCTTAAGGTTAAAGGTCATGGCAGGTTTGTAAAGGTTAGCAGCACAGCTTAGGTTTGCAAAGCTGCATCTGAACAAAGAACAAGACTGCTGGAACAGACGAGACCACAGAGGAGACGTTTGTCAAAACCAACTCCTCAGACCAGCTGTGAGCACGGGGAGGAGTGGACCGTGAACTCCTCAGTATACCGAATGGTAAATGGCCTGTATTTGTAAAGCGCTTTACTAGTCCCTAAGGACCCCAAAGCGCTTTACATATCCAGTCATCCACCCATTCACACACACATTCACACACTGGTGATGGCAGCTACATTGTAGCCACAGCCAGCCTGGGCTGCCGGACACTGGCGCCACCGGGCCCTCTGACCACCACCAGTAGGCAACAGGTGAAGTGTCTTGCCCAAGGACACAACGACCGAGACTATCTAAGCCGGGGCTCGAACCGGCAACCTTCTGATTACAAGGCGAACTCCTAACTCTTGAGCCACGATCGCCCGAAGTAGAGTCACATGTGTCCCACAGCTACAGCTTGGACCAAACTGAGTCATCAGCAGGACAAAGATCCAATCACAGCTGCAAATCTGCAACAGAACAGCTGAAGAAGGACAGAATGAAGCTGCAGCGATGGTGATGTCACAGCGCAGAGCTCAGCTTGACTGAGATGCTGCAGCTTCAAAGAGCTGTGCTGAAAACCTCTGTGAGCTGAAGCAACGCCGTAAAGAAGAGTAGAAACCATCACAGCAGCTTATTGTTGCTGAAGGCGGTCCTATGAGCTGCTGAATCTTATTGGTCTAAAATCAAAAACAGGAATTGGCACATGTTATAATTATCTTTAGGAAAAATAAGTATGAAAGAGTTCAGATCCATCAGTGTTCGCACTTAAACAGGGTTTGCGTTTTTCTGAGATTGAAGGACTTTGGACAAATCCAGTCGCTTCATAAGTCTCTGGTTTTTGTCTCTATGGCAACAGTATCTTGACAGCTCATCACCACTGTCGCCACCATTGTGCGAAGGACTGCCGTCGCCCCATTCCTGTCTCTGTCCGCCTTATCTCGCTGCTCGGAAATAGACATCCCCATTTTTCCCTGGTGACGAGTCCCGCCCACACGATGTGCTGCCACAAACGGCGGTGACGACACCGGCTGAGAGGTTCAGAGATTTCTGAATGCGGTCACATTCAGAAATCAAACCTCTAACTGTGCAGCCAAGTTTCTTCTTTAGAGCTGAGACTGAATCCACTCAGCCTCTTAGCCCCGATCTGTTCACCTCACCTGCACTAAGACCTGCAGGGTCAGGACAAATGACTGCGAGAGGGAGGGGCTAAACAGGTACCTGGAAATCAAAGTGTCTTCTGAGAGAAACTGTACTTCCTGTGAAAGGAAAGAACGTGTGAATGTGTCCAATAAACAGGGTGGATGTGAGAGGGTGGAGTTAAACTCAGAGGTGTATTCATGGTTGTTATTGGTGACATAAGGGTTTATTCCGGTCTGAATCAGCTGGTGTTGAGCTTTGGTTCCTCACAGAGAATACTCACACGTAATGCAGCCGTCAGTATGTTTTACATGAGCTTCCTCCTCTGAGACTGCAGACTCAAACCGAACCAGTCCTCCTTAAATGTACATCAGTGCATCAGGCTGTAAACATGTTTATTTCTGCTGTAAACTTTAACCTGGGAGTCTCAGGGGACTCGGGGTGGGTTTAAAAAATCGTTTTTTCCGATTCAAAATGATTTTAGTTTGAATAAAACGATATTCATTCATTAAATCCTGAATCGATTTTTAACTATAAATACATTTTGCCAGAAACGCCAGAATCTCAGGTTAAAGGTCACAGAACTATTTCAGCATCCGCCAAACAGGTGAAACAGTAAATGAGAGCAGGTATACGGTCACTCGATGGTACGGACACGCCCCCGGGGCTGAAAGCCGACGTCTCACAGATTCTGAGGCTGCAGGTTTCATCACTCCATCCAAAGTTCACTGAACCAGCAGCAAAAGAAGATCCGAACTACACGTTCGATAAACATCGTCATGAATTCTCTTTTACTTTTGCTTCCACCACGATAAAATCACACTTCCTCACAGCGCTCTCTCTCAGCGTACTCAGAGACCAGTTTACCATCAAACATCTCAGTTTTCTGCATTATTCTCTTGCTTGTTACGCACGAGTCTACAGTTGTGTTCAGTGCTGTCGGCCTCTGTTTTTTTTTTTCCTCCAAAAATGACAGTAAAGCCTCATTTCTGCTGTTCAGTCAGGAAGAAATGTAAACTTTTTAAAGTGATGCCAAATTGCAAAACTCTTCGTTGTGTCTGTAATCAAACCTCTGTAACTTTGCTCTGCTTCACTTCAGCAGCATCAGGTAACGTAAAGATGTTGATTCATGGTTTTCCTCAGTTTTTGATCGAGTGCAGAATATTTTTAAGGTTCTCTGTTAGAAACAGGACAGGAAAATGTGCTTCATGTTTTTCTGTTTTATCCTCAGTGACTTTGACACAAAGGCGTCTGCTGTGATGCTCAGTCCTCTGACGAAGTCTCACAGTGTCAGCTTTGTTTTTATACATATATAAAATATGCAGATGTGCTGATAAATGATCAGAATTATAATATTTCTGACCGTTTGAGTCCAAATTGAATTAAATCGATTCGATCATAGAAATCAAAATCGATACCCAGCCCTAATGGAGACTGACTCACTGATGGAGCCTCTGGTGGGCACTAGAGGAACTGCAACTGTAGTACTTTGAGTCGCAGCTTCATCTCTTCGCCCTGAGGCCGACGCTTGCTTCGTTTTGATTTGACATGCATCTGCAGCTGTGGCACATTCTGGTTCAGGTTATTGTAGTGAGATGGATCTAATGTATATTTGAGTGACTATATTTGAATATGCTTCACAGAGTAAAGCTGGTGTTAGAGAGTGGAGCGGTTCATTTGTCTCCCTGTGGAGAGGTTATGTCAGGCTATGTTCCTGTGCATGAGCATTAAAGTGTGAACCCAAAGCAGGGACGTGTCCCGAGGCTCGGAGACGACAGACCTCAGCTTCATGTTTGAGTCTGGAAGGAATAAACTCCATTCTGTTTTATTCTATATTTGACTATTTTTACTCCATAATTGTCCTTTTTTTGCTCTTAATCTACCGTTTTTTACTTTTTTGTTTTTGACAGAGGCCCATGAAAATAGAAATCGTAATCTCTTTTTCTTGAGGTGTTTCAGGGAAACCTTTAGACCCAGAATCTGAATCAAGCATCCAGCCCTGTAAATGCTGAGCAGATCTCCCTCGGCCGCCGAAGCTGCTGCAGTGGGAATATTGCTTATAGGTGCTCAAAGCCGGCAGGAACTGACCGTACACCAGCATGAGTCCAAAACATCAGCGTTTTTGGATTTTGATGAGTGTGTTGGTGTGTCGTGTATATATATCTGACTGTGTGTGTGTTCCTCTTGTCTGCAGGTTTGAAAGACTGGAAGTTTTGGCAGTTTTTGCCTCCACTGTTCTCGTCCAGCTGGGAGCTTTGTTCATCCTGAAGGAAAGGTGTGTAGGTCTCTCTCACTCACACTGTTAATCCTCTTGTAGGAACATTCAAACGTTTGTGAACCCGTGGTTTGTTTGGGTAAAAGTGTGAACACACACTTCATTCACGTCTAAGCCTTATCTCGATTAAACACAATCGTTCTTCTGGAAAAAGTCCTTCTTTCTTTACTCCTGCCAGCGTTTTTTAAATAGTGATCTCACAAACTGACAGTTATAGTTCTTGCAAACTGTGATGAGACTGATGTTAAACAACTGGACAAAAATGGGTGTGAAATAGTTTTTCTGCTAAACTCTAAAACACAAACACTTT